CCCCAAAACCCCAAAACCCCAAAACCCCAAAACCCCAAAACCCCGGGGCTTATAGGATACTTTGGATAAATATATTAAAACCTTAGAGCTCAAAACTTCGTTTATCCTCACTTAGAGCTCTGACATGAAACCTAAATTATCATCCTAAACCACCTACACTTTTTGGAAACTTCTAGATATCTTTATATCAGGTTCTGTAATTGGATGCATACTTTTCAAGCCCGAATCATATCGTTGGTATTGACTTTTCTTCGATTTTTGCTCTAAAAATTTCTAAAATCTCTTACTAAATTTCATAACTTTAACAACTTTCTTCTGTCGTACCTTTGGCTTTAAGACAGGGAGCAAGGACTTTTTCGCTGTCTTCTCTGTATCACACCCAATCCCACTGACATTCAGCAAGAAATCTTTACGCGACGAGCTATGTATTTTCTCATTTCTAAATTTCTTCAGCAGAGATTTGTTAAGGCTTTGACTTTTAGCTTTCTTCTGGGGACTTTTTGTAGTTGGCTTAGGGAGAACACTCATTTTACTCTTCTTCAGGAATTTTATTCGGGAAAGTGGCCTCTAGAGATGAGAGGAGGGAGTACGGTGAGGCCTGAGTGGTGGGTTTTGTATTTATTTGGATAGGTATTTTGAGATTTTACGGTCAAGAGCTCTGATAGTCTCTGGAAAGAGGTTTAGAGGGGTTGGAAAGAGGGTAAGGAGTGGAGTGACTGGTTTTTGAGGTAATTGGGGTTGTGGGTTGGGTGAATGGGTGAATAGATTTCATTGGATAAATTGTTAGAAGCTCAAATTTAACTGACTTTGTATAATTCTTGGAAAACACAAATCATGAGGAATTCATTCAATCTTTGTAATTAAAAAATTTACTTCTCGCTCCAGATTAAATACCAAAAACTCTTACCATCCTTATTTCTCTAAGATATAATTGATTTCATTCTTATGTGAAAGCACATTAGTCTTGCTAGTCAGTTCAAGATTAGGCCCTTCATTCATAATCTACAGGGTTAAAGTTTCCATACAGTAAACCTCAACTTTCTCTCTAGCTGATCTTTGTTGCTTCTAAATGTAACCCAGAGCACTTACATAGATCCGAGAGGAGGTTTTGAAATGTCAAAATTATCTGACCTAAATATTATGACATTAATTTACTTTTTAATTCCCCTTTTAGGACTTGTATTAAGCAACTTCTTTTTCATAGCCCATCTAGTGCGAACTACTTCTTCCTGAAAGAATGGGTCGTCTTTTTCAATGGCATTTTTAATCTGAAGTTTTTTGATTATGTCCCCTTCATCCTCATCTAGAAGTTAATCAGAAAATACAATTTAACTGGTCCTGAATTATATAAGATTCATAGAGCTGCAATGTGCTTTGTTGATCAATCCCTCTCTGGTCTGAATTCTCGAATCAATACTGTCAATGCTACTCAAGCTAAACAAATAAGATCTTTTCGTACTTATTTTTGTCTTAACAGAAGTTCTTTAGCATGCTTTGTATTGAACCTCTCCCTGAACTCTTCTTTAGAGATGAAATATGCAGAACAATTGTTATTTAATAGCCTTTACAGTGATGTTCATTGGTAAATCCTCAATACATTCTAAATGGCCGAAGATCTGGTGCTTTGAGATTATTCAGATCCTGATCTCTTTTAGAGCTTTGATACATCACTCATTCTCACCACATGAGAACTCGAGCCTAGAGATTAGGATAACTATACTACTAATTTTTGATTGGATGGAATTGTTCTTCTTTAATGGGTTATGCTTTGTCATCTCTAAGAAATTATTATAACTTTATACCGAATTCGCCTTCTTTGATAAGGAAAACTCCCTTAGCCTCTTCAGCTTGCTTTCATATCGTTTGGTTTAGGATAAAATGCCTCTCTTCCATATAGTACGATAATTTTTGAAGAGTTTGCAAGGTAAAATGAGAAAATATCTTGAAATTCTGTAAAAAGTCAGTTTTTAACTGTAATTGCTTCTTTTGGGCTCGTCCTAGTGTTTTCTGAAAATCCTTCCTGCCCAGAATCGCGAAGTAATGCTTATTTCTTGCAAATCCTAAAGATTCAAAGCTTAAATACCTGATCTATTTGGGTCTTGTTTACAATAAATTGTTGCTGCTCTGGATTTATTACTAAGAAGAGCGAGTTCACCAAAGCTGTCCCCATCAGAAAGTGTGCTGACTTCTTTCATAATGCAGACTTTTCTCTCAACCTTTTCTTTGCTATTATTTAAAGCTATCTTTCTTCAACATAAGAGTTTTGGATTTATTTTATGCCCAGTTTAGACTCATTCTTATTTTCTTTTAGAGTTTCAATGAAATTTGGATCAATTTCAGATTTTTCCAGAACAATCTGATCTTTGTTCTTTAGAAGATAGGAGTAGAACTCCATATCGTTCATGGCTATTACATAATGTTAAGAAGAATGAACATTCTTGGATGAAGAGTCAAGGTGCTCAAATGTATAATGGAACTTAAAGATGGAGCTTGATGAGCATAAGAAGAGTTATAAACAGTATGTTCTCTTCTTCTGTCAAGTCCTTTTCTAGCCCTTAGATTTGAGCTATGAGGGTAATTCTAGGTGCTTCTTTTCTGAATGATAAACTTACGCTCAAGTTTTACTTCAGTTGGAACTTTCACACCGACATAACCTCTCAGGATAATATAAAAATTTGAGTTCTCCACATCGCCTAGATCATTAATAAGCATCATCACAAGCAGTGATAACTTTGAGACAACATTTTTGTGAATAATTAATGACAGGAGCCGACGAATAATTTGAAAGCTGATAAATTCTAATATATCTGATAAATTGTCCAATAAAATTAAGAGGTAAAGCTTAAGGCATTTTTCTCGTCATACCATAATCGAACACGATCTCGTCATTATTGAGGACCTCAAGCTGCATGTCTTGGGCCAATACCTTAAGGGTATTTCCTGATTCTGATGAATCTTTCTTGCTCAGTAAGCTAAATGTTATCCCATAACATGTGTAACTCATACTTGATACATTCATTGATTTCCTTCATCTGGAACTTGAAGTTCTTGAGATAGTCAGCCTAATGATTTAGGAATGGAAACGTACAACTTTGTCAATGTCTTGGCCCCGACGAGTGTTCAGAGGCATCCTCAGGCTGATGGTTTAAGGAGAAGAAAGTCTTACACTTGGGTTATTTCATGGAATTTAAGCAGGTCTATGTCTGAAGCTAGGTCTGCAAAATCAGTAGATGAAAGAGAATCTAGATAGATGGGTTAGAAGCGAAGGGTACTTATGCATTTTGAAGATAGCTTATTTTAGACTACTGCTCCTATAAAATTGTTATTTCGGGATAAAGGAGATGAGATATGATTGAAAAAGTTTGTTTTAAAGGTTTGATATAAGATTTAGAAGTCTGTGGGTTTTTATTGGTGGTTAGAAATGTTTTCTAAAGCAAATTTTGGTTTGATGATTCTAGTTTGCTTTACAGTATTAAAAACATTTCGAAATGGTAATATTTATCAAATAATTCATTTTTTGGGATTTACTCTGTTTCCTGATTTGTTATATTTTTCTTCTTCAATTTTATTTTTGTCATTGACCTCAAAACTTTCTCCTTCAACATTTTTATCAATTATTATATATTATCCTGGGGTTTTGGGGTTTTGGGGTTTTGGGGTTTTGGGGTTTTGGGGTTTTGGGGTTTTGGGG